ACTCTAAGGCAACAACCCTGGAATACTCTATTCCTACCCTCAAAATACACACACAAATAAAGCTTCTTTCTCCTTATTACGAGTCAATAAGAAAACACATTCCATTTTAACCTTCTCTAGGCATGGAGCGTTTTACCAAGTTCTCTCTCAGTCACTATAGTTCCATAAAAGAATATAACAAAACACCACTACCAAATTCCTTTGACGCCCCCTTAAAAAGATTTGATTGCTCATCATGTTTTAGAATAAAGTATTTTCTTGTCAGAGCATCTGCTCCAAAATGTAGACATTCACACATTGTCAGTAAACTGGTATTCCACAATTATGAGAGGTTAATTATAAGAGGTTAATTATAACCTCTCGTAAGTTGTTTGTACAGTCAGCTCCTCTCATAGTATTATTAAGCCAAACAAGCATCTTTCAAAAATACCAGACATGAAGCTAGAACAAGGATATTTAAAATATATACCTGACAGGTGCTACTGAACTTGTTGCAATAATGGGAGCAATTCCACATTCTTTTCTAAACACAAAGTTATGATGGCATTTCATCAAAAACAGCAACTTGGGGGAAAGCGCAGTGGGTTTACTTATATATTAGGAAATAGTCTTGTTCTTTTGCTGATTTTTGCCTTTTTTATTGAAAAGATTCCCATCTTGGACACTGACAGATAATGCAGCTTTGTAAAAAATATGGTTCTCTCCTTGCTACAGGTTGTTTCAGATTGATATTTCAGCTTGATTTTTGCCACCATTTAGCAAAGGAAACTGCATGAACTATAAAAATGACACATTATAAAAATGACACAATAATTGTGGCTCCACTCTGAAGGGAACTTTGATCTTTCAAAATTCAGAGGAAATTTCTTTCAGTGATTTATAAAGAAAAGAGAAAACACCTATTCTATGGAAAATTTCCCATTTTCAACAAAGGAAAGTGACACTGCTAACCTGAAGCTTCTGTGGCTTTCTATAACACCTAGACTAGCACAATGCAATGAATTCTGTGAGGGAAGGCATCCAGGGTTATTTTGAAATCCCACGTGTGGTCATGAAGGAAATTCAAGTTGGTTTACCTTCTAGCCACAAATCTAACGGATTGCGAGGGAAGGCATCCAGGGTTATTTTGAACCACGTGTGGCATGAAGGAAATTCAAGTTGGTTTGCCTTCTAGCCACAAATCTAACGGATTGGTTGTCTTTAAAAAAAATCAGAAATCATGATGGATGATTGTAGTATATTATACCTAGGTTTCACAGCATAGCTTCTTTAAAAAAAATCAGAAATCATGATGCATGATTGTAGTACATTATATCTAGGTTTCACAGCATAGCCAGAACTGTTGCTGATGTATGCCCCTCTTTCTTACAATAAATGCATTAAGTAACTTACTTCCCCCTTTTCAGTTTGAAGGCTTTGCTCTCCAAAAAGCTCTCACAACGTTCTCTGGGACGCAAGCAGATTTTAAGAGCAGTTTTGAGTGCATTCTTCAAATTCCCCTAGTGCCTTTGTTCCACATTCCAGTTTTATAGCTGCCCCCACCTTGTTGCAAATGGGTATCTGTAGAGCTCCAGACATTGCCAGGATCTTCATCCACCCATCTATAGCTCCCTGTCTGCAGGTGTCCCAGCACACGTGCCATGTACACAGCAGAATTGCAAGCTTCGTGGCACACAGTCCCAGCATTCTCTAGGATATTACCCTTCTGTTGTTCCTCAGACTTCTTTTTGTATTTTCTCCCATTTCTTTTCAGATTTCCTCTTGTCCCCACAGGTACACTCATTACTTATTGTCTAAAGCTGCAAACAAAGATGAAAGGGCCAGGCAAACACACTGTCTTGTATAAAAACAATCTTTTATTTTCACATCAAAACAACTTCTGTTTCAATTACTTCTTTGAAAAGGTGATGACTTTAAAATGTCCTTTGTTTAGCCTCTTAGATATAGGCCAAGTTTGACTGGTTTTGCTATTACAGACATTTTCATGGTACACAGAAGAGTTTTCTCCCTGCCAGAGAAAAGTATGAGAATATGATGATAGCACAAGGAGTGCACAGTCCACTGTGAACAATGGCAAGGACTAAAAAGATGTGTGGATGCCTTAAGTTTGGCTTAGTAAGTGCACATTGAAGCCAAGAGTATGGTTAACTTATGACTGGTGCTAAGGCCCACTAAAGCTCTAAGTAAAAATGAGGTTTATTTAGAATTCAGCTCACATTACTCAGTGATTTCATTAACCATCCAGTTTTGACACACTCATTGTACATAATGTATAAAAAGAGGTCTAACCTTTTTGGTGAAATGCAGGATGAAGTCAGTTAACAAAGTGCAAAATATATGAAAGGCGATAAATAAACATTGGTTAAATCCTCTCCAAATTCTCCTACCAGACAAGCATAGATTATAGTTATCACTGTTCATAATGGTGATTGATTAATTATTGCATTTCAGAAGATATTATACAAATTATTATGGGTCACAAAATCTATCTCACAATTATTCCATCACTAACAACTGACAATATAGAAATCTGCATCTGTTAGCAAAAGACTTTCTTCAGCTCTTTAATTAAATCAATCCTGGGGGATGCAGAGCACATTTCTTTATTGTGTGTATCAAATTCCTACCAAAGTTCCTGAGAAAATTTGCTGTTTTGACATGAGGTACAGAAGCATGTCTGGGTTATGTAATGCTTTTGTCTCAAGAACTGTGGAAAAAATAACGTATCACATGTTTTTTTGACAGAACATGCCCTTTATAACAAATTCCATCTTTGATAGACTGATAGCCCATGTGGCCATGGAGATTTATTTCTAACTTTAGGACATGCTAATTCCACAAGGATTATCAAACCAAAAGGTTTAACATTTGCAAGGAGCTCTCTCAAATGAACTGTGTCACCTCAGTCATATATTGATGTGTCACCTACAAGTCAGGTGATAGCACTTTTGAACTCCAGAACTAGATTTAAGATTCTTGCACAGCTTTGAAATCTGAAATCAAATATTTTCCAGGAAATAAAAAATAATTGTTAAAACAATTGCTCTCACTAACCACAAGCATGGTGGATTTAATTTGAAACACCTTCAACAACAAATAACAGCTATGCTATCTATAAGGAAAATAAAAGGCAAATATTGTAACACTTCAGCTCCTGATAAAACCTTAGTTTATCATTAACTGCTTGTCAGATGAACCTTGGTTTTGACACAAAAAGAATCTGCTTTTCCTGAAAAATCCTAAATTTCAATAAAACCTGCCAAAGTAAAAACATTCCACTTAGAAAACTAAAATCATTTTCACTGCAATCAGTTATCCATGGGAAATAAGAACTATTTGATTTCAAACCCCACATACTAGTAACACACAAAAGAACACCAAGGTTAATTCTAAAACCATATGCAGGTAAGTTAATTTTGCACTTTTGAACATCTCACCTGCTTCCTTACCAGAACTTCCACAGTCTCACTCATTCTGCTATTCCTGGTCATTGAATACCATCATGTAGATACTATGGAGATTTTTCAATGTCTTCATTTCCTTCCATGATTTTATATTGGAGGCTTTTCAACAAAGTGTTTTCTGCTTGCCCAGTGATGCCTTACGAGATAAGCTCTCTAGTATTCCAGCAAGCAAAATTTAATCCTACACTAGTGGCACCAAGAAATGCCATTATTTTGAGGATGACTAACTAAGCTTTGGTTTGTAGCTTTGAGTAATACTTCTCCTTCTGGAAAATGACAATTTTCTATCAAAACAGTTTCTCTAGGCATAGAAAGGTCCAAGAAAACAACACAGTTATAATTTTTAGGAAAAACCATGTTTCTCAATTCATACATACTCCTAACCACAATAGATGAACCTAAACTGATAAGAGTTCTGTTATTTACTTCAGGCATTAAAAAATTCAAACTCGTAATGGACAATTCATTATTATCATTAATAGGCAATTTTGCATTGATTGCTACTGTTAATACCTGATTCTTTAAACATTGGGAAGCATGCTCATAATTAACTTTCAATACACTCATTGAACTTCACATCCAACATGACCTGAGGACAAAACCTCCTCTCAATGTATCTCAAATCTATTATATTACTACAGTGTAGTGCCTAATATTACATACAATATCTGTGTAATATATAGACATATAAAAGAGTGTGTGTTGTATTACATAGTACCACAACATTTTCTGTACAGAGATTTCTGAAATTGAGGTATATAGACAGATGCATCCAAGTAAATTCTAAGGCTGAGATTTTGCAACAAGATCATTTGATGTAAATGAACATTATTAATATCTAGTGTCTCTCAGAGAATTTCTGATATCTTACCTGAGCTTCAGAATACTAAAGAAGCTCCTTTGCCCCTTGCCATAGCATCTGCAAAATGACAATATGATGTTTATTGTACCTTTTAAGAGCCTATAAGCTGTGGCTGCCTAGCTTCAGTCTTGACTGGCCTGAGAACACTTACAATCCATGATACTGGACACACAGAGCTGTATGATGTCTCAAAGCACGAGCTGATGCTAGAAGAAAACTTGTTTTTTCAAATAAAGTTTTGTCCTCAATAAAAGCAATTTAAACTGATTTCCTGTTATTTTTGAGTAAATCACTTTCATGAAGATTGTGATTAATGTTTGATACATGCAATTAGCACATCATATGCTAAAATGAGAGAAGAGAAAACAGAACATTTTTTTAAAAAAAAACAAAGAATAGAAGATTTTAAACCAGGGAACCATTTCAGGCTGTAATTATGCTTTGAAGAACATTGATCATTCACATCCAAAGTGACAAAGATATAAAAAAGAAAATAAATGGGCAACATTTTCTTCCATTCTCCCTCCTACCTACCACCCTACTCATCCAGTAGACTGTATTATATCAGATAATATGTTCTGATACCACTCAGCATCAATCTGCTTCCAGATGCAGTATCATGATTTTGGATTAATTTTGCCTATTATTTTTTCCGTATCCACCCTCATCCATGTTCAACACAGATATTCAGACCTAGAGCCCTCACTTTTGAAGGTCATTTGAGAATCCATGCTCGACCTAGAGCAAAGGAGAAGTCTTTCTGACTCATCTGTGTACCTTCGTGCCCAGAGCTGCTCTCCTGTATTCACTGTTCGAGGCTTCAGAGACAATGTTTCAAATTGCACATAGGTCTCTTTTGCAAGGTCAGCTTCCTTTGCAGATTTTGGCTTCACATGAAGTTTTAAAACTTTGTAGAGTAAAAGAAATATCACAGGTAAAACGACCACGCATGCTGCACTGCTGGCCACTACCAGGATAGAAAACTGAGAGTCACTTTCATCATTTAACCCATCAGTAGAGAAAATAACACACTGTTCTTTTGTAGGTGGCACTCCTTTGGGTGAGACACATGCCATATATTGAGTACTGGGTTGCAAACCATCAATTGTGACTTTGTTTTTGCTAGAATCAGTGCTCAGAGGCAACATATCTTTCTCACCATACTTCGAGTATAACACAGTCACTGCAGAGTTGCTTGTGGCATTGACAGTTTTCCAAGTTAAGGTCACTCTTTCATCAGTTTCACTGATCACTCTTAGGTTCTTCACAGTAACATTTTGCTCAGCTATACCTGATGTATTCAATGAAGTGTTCTCACCTTTCTTGCTTATCTCCCCAAGCTGCTTTTTGTTTCCATTGGCCACTACCTTTGAACTTTTCTTTCCATCGAACATGGGCCTGGATTGCTTCTTGTCAGTTAATGTGAGGCCAGTTGACGTCTCAGTGCTAACCAGTACTGTGGTGGTGGGTGTGGTGGAAAGAGGTGTGGTTGTCCTCTCAGGTTCCTGCTTGGGTTCCTCCTGAGTTGTATTCTGTTTCTCAGCCTCTTGCTTCCTTCCGTACTTTTGTGGTGACACAGTCGTAGTAACTACACCAACCACTGTGACAGTAACAGCAGCTTCTGACATTCCTGCCAAGTTCTTGGCTTTACATCTGTATTCTCCTGCATCCTTGTATGAAATCCCTGTCAAGCTTATTATGGACCATCTGACACCCTCTCCAGGTGTTTCGTGAATTACTACAGGAAAATGCAAAGAGTAAAACATTATGAATGGGAAGTAAAAATAAAGCAAACATTATTACACTACTGCTTCCCTTACATTATTTCTGCCAAAAGGAATCACACGTATTAAACTTTCTAAAACAAAGAACAAACAAAACAAAGAAAGCAAAATCAAACCAAACTCCCAACACAAACTATAGATTTCCCTGCCATATTATATTAGTAAATAAAAGTTCTCAGCTTGGGTCAAAATGGAAATGAATGTCTGGAGGAATTATGATATATTTTGCAGTTTCACTAGGTAAAACAAAACCACATAAAGCAAAATCAAATGTCTTATAGCAGCTATTGACTCATAAATACAAGTCTCACTGACTTCAAGTGACACTGACCATACTAGCCATTTAAAACACTGTTGGAAATTACTTTTTCCTTTAGATATTTCAGTACTCTGGACAATTACCTTCTTCAGACCTATGATAACTGCTAACCACTTGGCGTTAACAAGACATATTTTTTACATTTAAGTTACTACATTAATATCTGTCATAGCAGCTAGAATGGCAGTCTTGCAATATTTGTGAATAACATAGAAAACATGAATTTGGAAAATCCTATGTTTACAACACTGAGTTTCCAGTGTCATGGTTATGGCCTCACTGGCTTTTTTGATATGAACATTTTGAAACAAGACAGAGATTCCAGTAATAAGTTCTTCTTTCTGCTTTTCAGCTTCTAAGTTAGAGTCTAACTAACCCAACCACCACTTCCCTTTACTCTTCCCCCCCTTTCTTGCATTTTCCCCTTCCACACTCATTGTTCTTATCACAGACCACATCCAGAATCAATACAGTCAGTTGGACCTGTTAAGCACAAGAACTAGACAAAGAATTTCATAATAGCTGTTGCACATTTATGATTGCCAGCTTGATGCAATACCTGGTCCATTGTTACTCATTATAATGATCTGAAAGCACAAGCAACCCAACAATTTTTGGCTCTCCCGTTTCTATAAATGAGCAGTTATACCTGTATAGTTCACTGGTATACTGTCTGACCTAGTCCAAGTAAGCTGCGGTGTTGGGTACCCGGTCGCATCACAGCGTAGCAGAACGTTGCTTCCCAGAGGGGAAGTGATTTTTGTTGCTGATGTCATCACAGATGGTTTAAGACATTGCTCTAACTCAGCTCTCTGAAACAAGATTCCTGCCAGGCTCTCAGGTCCACTACATGAAATCAGTGGATCAAGAAGTACAACTGAGTTGTCCACAATTTTGGAAAATTCAATTAGCTTTGATATGCGACAATCACAAAACCATGGGTTGTCCTGAAAACCTGGAGCAGAGAGGGAAAGGAAAGAAAAAAAGTTGTCAGCCAATATATGGATATTGTGATTACAGTATGATGCATAACTATCACTAAGTACAATCAAGGACAACTGTGGACCTATATTGAGTTAATCTTTTCTCTTTCAATCAGTATTTTTTTGTTCAGCTGATTGGAGGGCGAGTAGTTTTAAAGGTAAGGGAGAAGAGTATGAATGTTTATTAATCTAAACTTTTTCTTCACAGAACATTACAGGAGCATAGTAATATACTGGCACTATCTTTGCTTAAATTTCCTATTTATCTAGGAAAAAACACTTTGAAAAGATGTCTTAAGAGTGATGATACATTTTACCTGCCTGTGCCTTCTAGAAACTGAGCTTCTCAGGGCTATTGCTTCCCTTCACTCTCCTCTCCTTTTAGTCCTCCTCTGGGCTCTCACAGTGTGATCTTCTCTGACCCTCTTTTCAATACTTGCAGAGAACATGATTATTTAAGGGTTTAGAGCTTACACCAACATCTCTGCCCCTTGAAGAAAGGATAAAGGCTAAGGAGAAGAAGCTTTAGGCCAATAGAATTCTTATCTGGCTCTGAACTATACCAATATTGTTAGAAATCTGGGTTCAGTTTAGTACAACCTCTGAAATATACTCATAAAGAATAGCAGAAGAGTAGAAAACAGAAAGGATCACAAAACCCCTCAATGGCCACAGTATTTTTATGATGGCACACAAAAACTCTCTCTCGCTTCTATTAGAGGCTATAACATTTGCTTCTTGATTCTGGTCTTCCAATGAAAGGCTTCTTCCTTTTGGTGGACTTATTATGTGGAAAGAGAATAGTCATTTCTGAGGAATACAAGGCTCAATCCTCAGCTGGTATTCATTACTCCACTATGTTGACCTTCATAGAGCAACAGTGGCTTCACCAGGTAAAATATCACAGAGAATACCACTCATGAGTTCAAATATTTTCTCATTTGCCTCATATTTTTGGCTGTACATTTCTTATTTTTTTTCAAGTACTACTAATAAACAAAACTGATGATCTGAAACAGGATGCTATGCAAGAACCCCTCGCTATTGTATTTACTGATTAGTGCAACAGGCAAGTCATATTAGTCCAAAAATATTTTAAAAAAAGCTTGAAACACCAGCTAATATTGTTAAGTGTGTATTGTTAAGAATTATCAAAACAGCTAATAGAAGAATTTTGGTTTTTGTTCTGGAAAAAAAGATACAGAATAAAGAATACATGAATAATTAACTACTGTTTCCTTTTATTGCCTGACCAAGATTAGGTTATTTTAAGCACAATGGCAGTGATTGGTTAAAACTGAGGTAAACCCCAATTAATCCCCACTCTTTAAAACAAGACTTGACCTGGAGAGATTCCATGACTTTGACATCACAATCCAATTTCACTCCTTCCAGACATAAGAGATTTTATATCTATTCACTACTTATTGCTCACTGGAACAGAGGAGAAGACAAGGAAACTGTATCAGCAACTGCTTTTCCTCAAAAAAATAAAAACAAATTCTCCAAAATACAAAACTTTGCCCGCGAATTTCACATACATATTCATGAGGAAAAGAGAGACCATCCAAATGTTTTCAGTATTTAAGCACATCAACTGTATGTGCTTATAAAAATTCTGCTCAATCAAGCACAAGTCTGTAACTATTTGTGCTCATCTTTTCAATTAGGGAAGCTCTAGTTTGTAGCTAGAATTAGTGACAATACTTCTGTAACATTCTTTTTTTTTCATTCTCACTTGCATATAAGGGGTCAATTTTCCTCACTATGTTTATAGATAGACTACATGAGCATTTGAGAATTAAACACCCCTAATGTATAAGAAGGAAGGCAGAATTCCCTTGAAACAAGACCTCAACTGCCAGAGTTTGTCCATAACAAATGCTGTTAAAATGCATGTGAACTCCCAGTGTGGCCCCTGTGCTATGTAGAGGACAGAAGCAGAGGCAAGCTATGCTACAGGCAGAGAGCAGGGCAGAAACTCTGGGTGCACAGTGTTAATCAGGCCAGAGCTGCAGCATCAGTAGAGCTCCTGTCCCACATACTAGGCAGCAGATTCTCCCTTACATTGACCACTGTTGAAAATATTTCTTCTTCCACCTTTCTGCATCCTACAAACATTATTGCACGAAAGGAAGCCATTTATCATTGTTTCTAACCTACGAGAAGTGCTCAAAAGCCTTTGAAATAGAATCATAGAATCACTTATGTTGGAAAACTCCTTTAGGACCATCAGGTCCAATCGGTAACGAACCACTGCCAAGTCTACCACTAAGCTATGCCCTACGTGTCACATCTACACATCTCTATCACTTCCCTGGGCAGCCTGCTCCAATGCCTGGCCACCCTTTCAGTGAAGATACTTTTCCTCATATGGATGTTCCTATATATGACTTTCATATTCTCCCAGTGTCCCAAAGAAAACCAAAAGTTATCACAATAAGTAGCCGAAATTGACAAAATAAAAGGAATGATGAAGCAAACATGAACAGTCCTTAGACTGGATGGTTATTTAATCCAGTCTGGGACACAGATTTGACCACTTCAGGTCATTCTGAAATTGTGGCTTCAGTTTCAGAAGAATGCTGCAGTCCAAGAAGACTCTGTACTTCTGTGTGTTGTGCAAAGAGAGACTCATGTGAGTCACTTCATCTGCCTCATCCATCATGCTTCAAGTGGAACTGGCTAAAGAAGCAAAACCTATATATTATACAGAAGCAGGACTTTATATATTATACATATAATATATAGAGCTACAGAAGTTCCCTCCTTGCCTCCATGGCATATCCCTTCTATTTATCTGTGTCTTGCTAACATCTGACAGTATTCACATTATTTTTATCCATTGTAAGTCATCAAACCATGTGAATTCCCAAAAAATTAAAAGATCAAAGCACTGTCAAGTTGGAACCAAGGATGAAACACTGAAATTGCATTATACTTCAGTTAGCTATTGAAGAGAACAGAAATATGAATGCAAACCTAGTTTTCCAGCTCCAAAATGTCTTCTGAAATTTAACAGCTTTTGTTTACAAGATGGCAGAAGTGAGAAAAACCACATAAAATAATAAATAAAAGGTCAAAAAAAAGGAAAAAAATTAAGAAACCAGAGAAAAGTAGGGAGATTTAATAAATGAATGAGATGGAATCCCTCAGGAATTTCCTAAGAAGCAAAAATAAATATAAAAATTCTCCAATGGCATGCTTATCTGATGAAACAGAAAGTCTTTATAAACCCTGAACTTTTTTTGTAGAAATATTAAGGCAGCTTGTTGATTTGAGAAATAAATACTAACCAAGGCAAAACAGACATAAATAAATATTTATAAATTGTAATATACCAACACAGTGTATTTCAACATTAAATATGGATTATAAATTGCCATAAAAAAAAACCTTTCTTTAATTTAAATTTTGCATATTTTATATTTGCTTTCACACATTTATATGTATGTTTGCATGTACAATGGCAAACACATGTATATGTGTGTCTGTGCATGCACATTTTCCTAGTCTCAGTAAGAAAGCTTTCCCTGTGCTGTGTCAATATGGACTTTAGCACTGAAAAGAGCTATGAGCAAAATTTCCTGTGTAAATCAGTAACCAGACTCAGACCAGAACTTGTGTAATATGATGTTTTTCAGTTGATGCAAACATGGTATGATGTGAAATATTCAAGTCTTGATAGAAATAATCACCACAGTTTGGGCTAACCTACCCAAGCTTTCGTGTAACTGAAGCCACAAAATTGTTGATCCATGGTTGGAAACAGGAAAGTCCATGTCCTGCACTGTGTCCCAGTGTTTTCTACACACAGTAATTGCTAGGGAGTTGTTTCAAGAAAAGCAGTAGCTAACCTAATGACCCAGCATAACGGCTGGGAGTTTGATGGACCTGCAGCACACCAAATTTTTGGCACATCTACATGCAACAGAGGCAAGATCTCATCTAATTGCCACCCTATCAAATACTGGATTCCTCCGTTCCTCTCTGTGTCCCAGTGTTTTCTACACACAGTAATTGCTAGGGAGTTGTTTCAAGAAAAGCAGTAGCTAACCTAATGACCCAGCATAACGGCTGGGAGTTTGATGGACCTGCAGCACACCAAATTTTTGGCACATCTACATGCAACAGAGGCAAGATCTCATCTAATTGCCACCCTATCAAATACTGGATTCCTCCGTTCCTCTCAGTGACTCACTAAATTTTCCCTTACAGAAAATGCTACTGTCATAATTCATACCAGAAATTTCAGTTTTGGTACAGCAGCCAATGCAGATACAGCTGTGATTTGGACCAAACTATTAGGCTATGGTTCCAGAAGTAACCAAGAGATGACCAGAACTCACACTCAGGTCCCTCAGTCATTCACACTGCTTGGCTGTCAGCTCACTGAGTTCAAACAGAGCTCCACTGCTTTGGTTTGAACTGTTCCAAAGGGCACATTCCAAGACAAAGGTGGACGTGGCTTCAGGGACAGTTTGCACTCCAGGGATTGCTCCCTGAAAGCCTTATGGATGAGACTACACCAAGGATGGCTCTCTATCCGTTCTTTCCCCCAGTGCAAATGCAGCAGGCTTTGTGCCTCCAAACCATTCTGCATGCCTATCAGCCATTCAGGCACACTATATACCCTTGCTATTTATATTACAAAAGCACAGCTATACAGGTTGCAATGACATTCTCACATTACTTCATTTCCTGACTAGCCAAAACCAGAATTTATTTGCTCTAGGTTCCAGCTTCTAGCAGAGTTCTGGCTGCATTTACCATTCCATGTAGGTACATAGGACAGGCTGAATGCTCTCATGGAGAATGGCTGGGGCACATAGGACACTCTTGAGCATAAAAGCATGCAATTGTGAGCATCATATTTTAAGAGAAACCTTTTCTTTAAAATCCTGAGGGAGTCAAAAGGGAACCAGTAACTATGGTAGAAAAACTGAAGGAAAAAACCCAAATCCATAACAACAAAAAACCACACCTCATGTTATATTAGAAGCCAGTGAAAAAAATGGTGTGATTAGTTAGGATGGTGATCAGGGAAGGAAAACGTTTGAAAGATTACTGTAAAAGATGGTGATTAGTTTTTCTCTATGTCCATCTCCTGTTGTACAAGAGGTAATCAGATTAGTTTGCAGTAAGGGAGATTGAGGTTGGATATTAGGAGAAACTTTCACACTATCCTGATAGATAAGCACTGGAGGAGGTTACCACAGAAGGCTCTGGGATGGTCTGGCCACAGGCTTTAAGAACAGCACTGACTTTACAAGAACTATTCAGTTCCTCTGGATCTGCATCCCAGCAGCCTAGATCCTTCCTGATAACACACCTGTGTGATCCTTACCTCCACCTCAGAGGAGAAGAGTATCTATAGGACATGTTTCTCCTCCCTCAAGTTCCAGCATGCCCAAGACAGGAGGGGTGTCAGAGAGGAAGCAATGCCACAGAGCACATCTTGCTCCTGTCATGCCAACATCTCCTTGAAGAAAGCTGGAGCATTATAGCAACACCTTAACTCCTAAATCATCTTTCTAGCCTGATCGTTTCTATCAACCATTCATTCCTGAAAAACAACTGCTTTGTAACAGCCCATCAACAGCACCAGTGAGTGCAAGTGCTGTAACTACAACTTCTCAAGCTCCACTAATAAAGACAGTAAAACTAACATTCAGTGGAGACTAAGTAAACTTGTCAAAATAACTCATGACATAAAGAGCATTGTACTTTCTAATCTCCAAAGGAAGGGGATGTTTTCTTATTCACTACAGAATTTCTTATGTAGCAAGCACTGTCTGTCTGCATTGAGATATACTCATCAGAAGGTTGTGATGTCAGTAAAAAAAAATTCAGCTTATTATTGACAGCTTACTTATGGCAGATTTACTCAACACAAGACAATGAAAGTACTACCTGGCAGATTGCATTCTCAGATACAAATCTATGATAGCATAGAGCCTTCCACAGCACCCAACATTTTAAAAAATAAAAATTAAAAGAAATGTGCTGCTTAAACACAGTTGTGTGTTCCTCTCTGGACATCTGTGTTAAAACACAGTTGTAGCTTCTAACAGAAAATGGTCCAAAGGATACATTCCAAGTCATTAGAGAACCCAATGCTGGCACCAGAGGGTTTGCCAGGACTAGAGGAGGTTGGCAAAGTGCCTCTATCAATGAAGTCTGCAGATGGTAGCCAGGGGTAAGAGGAGGACAGAAGAGTGTGTGTAGTTTTAAGTTTCTTTGGAATTTGTTTTTTGGGTTGGTTTTTTTCCTTTGTTTTGTTTTTTAAGTGGTGAGGACTATGTAAGACAGGGAAACCAATTAACCTCTGAGACTCCCACACAAGATCATGAGGAAGATTCAATCTATCCTAGTCAGCTCCTACTTTACTGCGTCCTGTAGTCTTCAGTGTGGGGACAGGGAAAGGAGTACTGAGATGGACTTACTTTTACAGCATTTCCTTTTTTCTTTTTAAATCCTGAATGAATGAAGACCCTTTAATGCTGCAAACCCACAGTTACCATGCATATGAAGAAGTTGTTCAGCCTACTTGCACCTATTAAGTTACTTATGTACAATTACAACTGAATGAGAATTTCCAACTGCAGCTTCTGCTGTGAAACAAAGCAGCTTAAAAAATAAACACTGAGTACTGGGGGTTTAGATCAAGAAATTGGAAATACTGGGCAGTACAAGGCAGGGCAGATCTTTAGCAGTGCTTATAGAACTACTCCAGTAGAGACAGCCAGCTGGATTTCCTCCCTTCCACATGCTACACTACAAAAACATCAAAACATGCACTTACACGTAAAAAGAGACAGAAAAGAATACCCATAGTGCCAACTTCTGAGACTGCAGAAGAGAAAAAGGTCACCTGCAAGACTAAGAAGTGGAGTCTGGCCAAATTTTTTTTAAAAACTTACCTTAAACATTATTAAAAGTACCATGTAGCTGCCAGGATCAAATTCCTACTCTTTCTCATACAGAACAAGTAAATTGGGAAAAACTTCAGGACAACAACTGAGCATTAGAGTAATGCAAGGTCAAAAGGGATCCTGGGGAGAGCAGAGTTGTCCTCTTTTGAGCCACTAACTCTACCTGCATCATTGTGTCACAGGACAGGCTTTATACAAGCATCACCTCTAGCTACTTGTTTGGCTTGTGAGCCACTGGGAGAAAAACCACAACCAGTTGCAAACAGACACTCTTGCAATTGCAAACACATAGTCATGAGGGAAATGTCTTCAGAAACACGATATAAGTCCTGCATTTATATGGATACTTAATACTTTTCATGGCCTGTATTCCTGTAGACTGTATGCTTATAGATTTTACTTCAGTTTTATAACCTTGAGATAATAATATACATGGAGGTCACTATCTTCATTCTATGGTTTTCTGTCACTAACAGAAAATAAATAAATAATAACCAAGTAAAACAGAAGACTGACCTGGATAAAACCCACTCCCCTGAATCCCAGGCTGGTCCCCTACCTGCTCTCACTTGCAATGTAATGTTTAGGTACATTTTAGTAAGGAATGAAACAGTCTCTTTAACGTACCCAGAATGGCTCTCTGTGTCACCAGAATGTCCGTGTTCTTGGACTGGGAAATTCCTGAGAAGGGGGGCCAAATATCCATCAGGTCTGATGGCAAGGTGGTTAGCTTGTTGCTGGATATGTCCAGGTAGGTGATGTTTTTCAGGTACCTGCCAGCATCAGCGGGAATGTTGGTAACTTTATTGTTGTGTAAATCGAGAGTCCGTAGGTTGGGCATCTCTGCCAGTGATTCCCAAGGGAAAGTCGAGAGCAGATTACCATCCAGCCGTAGCTCATGCAATTGTTTCAAGTTATAGAAACTGCTGATATCAATGTTGGCTACACAATTGTAAGTTACCCACAGGTATTTGAGATCTACTAGGTAGTAAAAGGCTTCAGTTGGAATCCTTCGTATGACAGTTTTCTCTATACGAAGTTTTACAGTATCCACAGGAACATTCACGGGGATCTCATACATGTCAGGATCATTACAGAGTACAGACCTAGCATAAGAATAAATAAATGAATAAATAAATGGAGACAGATATCAGCATTTCTTTTTCAGAAATCTGAACTTCAGATTTAAATGCAAATGCTATTACTTTCTGCAACACTACTACCAGAACAGAGAACAACAGATCAGGGACAGTCCTCTGCATTTAAAAGTTGAACAAACTCCAGAAATGAGGAGTTTCTGGAGAGAAAAAAAATACAAAACAGACATTATACTTTCACATGTAATCCAGATTTGCTTAATCCTAAAGCATGTAAGCACCTTCCTCTGCCCATCTCTCAATCTACTGACAACTGAAAAACAGAAGCCACTGTACAAGGAAAATACATGCATGTATCTCAAGCAGGAACTGCATGCCAGCTAATTTACTAAAATTCAGAATATAGTATTACTAATCTTTGTTTTTCTATATGATGAAGATTCAAGGTATTTTCTATACTTAACTTTCAGAATAGACAGAAAATTGAAAATACCAAAGCATATTTCAGTAAAGAGTTTCTAGCCCTCTTTCTGGTCTCTACATACAAATTACTTGCTTCATAGAGGTGCTAAGAACTTTCCACTCCCATTGATTACAGGAAAATGGGATTTCTCAGCATTCTCAGGAACCAGTATATTTGCATTTCTTTGGGATATATTGTTCACACATATTAGCTTGAAGATTCTCCTGCCCTCAATAAGTCTATCTTTAATTTTCTGCCCCTTTCCTCTAGACTCTTCCTCTATTTTACTTTTCCCCATGCAGCTTTACACCAGACAGTCTGTAACAATAAGTAGCAACTAGACTCTTCCTCTATTTTACTTTTCCTCATGCAGCTTTACACCAGACAGGCTGCAACAATAAGTAGCAGTGACAAAGAGTATCATCTCCAAAAATTGACATGACATACAAGGTCACCACATTTCAAATCAATGCCCTTATTACCAAAAATTTTATGATTTACTGTATATTTAAAAATAAGAAACTACTGTTTTTATTTAAACAAGAATCACCTTATATCAGTTAATTAGTTTGTAGAAATAGAAAGGACATTACAATAGTAGGAAAATCACAGAGTAGAAAGAAATTACCATCTGCAAAAAATGAAGATTTAGAGTAGCTATTTGCTAAGTACAAAGCCATAATCACCATCTGCTCCTACACACAAATGCTGCCAGCCATAGAATCAGTGTAAAATAAACCTTTATTTCAACAGTGCTAGAACTAATTTGCAACGCATGAGAATGTTATCTCCAATTTCTTCAACCCTTTTCCTTATAAATTGCCCTATATAACAAATAATAAAATATATACCTTGTTCCAGTGCCATCACTTCTGCCATGGTAAACACAAGTGCATTGTGAAGGACAAAAGCCATGAACTTCTTCAAAAAAGCTCATTAGGAGGTAGAAGTAAATAAACTGATACATGGCTTCCTCCCAGAAAAACTGATATGAAAAAAATTTGAAAACTTATTCCTAGGCACTCATGTGCAGTGTGCTGCGAATGTGAATGTAGACATCCATTTAGTAACAGCAGATTACAACAGATTAGCTGAGATCTGCACTTGCTTAACCTTCAAATGTATCCTGAATGGGATCAGTTAAACCAGCTCATTCTTTATTCTGTCAGAACAACACACTCTGCTTCAAATCACATCCAGGATGTTTCAAGGCTATTTTAATATGTAGCTTGTAGAGTTAGTGTGTAATAAAATATCACTTTACTTCTTCTAAGTGCATTCGCTACTGTCCATAAAGTGTTCCAAGGTTCCTGAAGGAAATCTAGTACACCACAAGGATATTACATGTAATTTTCTTTAATACTAAAAATACAAATGAATAAGAAGCCTAGATTCCAGTGCTTTTAAAAAATCCTGTAAAACAGGGTTTTGCCAAAAATGCACATATATTTTAAATAAGTTACACACTGCAAAGCCAAACTTCAGATGCATATATATATAATAATAGAATCTAGATCTATACAGAGTCATCTTTTTCATCCTGAAGAAACCCATTGCTTATATTGCCAAAGGTATTTCTTGAAAATTACACATCAGACTTATATAACTTTAAGATTGACTTAGAAGTGTTGAGGAATTACCATAAACATTTACTCAGTTTTATGTGTCTCCCAAATGTTGAGCTTTAGAGTATATTTTGTCTCATTTTTAGGATTTGCTATGCAGTCACAAGCACTAGAAACATGCTGCTAACAAAAAAAAATCTATCTTTCCTACAAACTAATTTGGTTCTGTGAGTCAAAATTTTAAAAATACTTTAAATATCCTGAAACACCTTCAACACCCTAAAAAGCTGATAATAGGCTCTATAGGGTTTGGCTAGGTATTTTGACATACTAACATATTCACAGAAACAGAACTTTACAAAGCATATCAACATGGGCACTTGGTATGGATGTATAAACCCACAGGGAGAATACAGAATATTTCAAGTCTGCAAAAACTTTCAAGGGAAGTTGATGGAAAGTAATTCTTGAAAGGAATTACAGATGTAAAATCTAGGGTTACTGAACCTAAGTAATTCCTGCTTCAGTCTCTTCTGGCCCCTCTGTCACCTTGCCCAACTCTGTAAGAGTCAGAGTGGTCACTTCACTTGCCTTTTTTGTTTGGGACAGACATATTGGGCCAATAAACCTCACTTTCCAAAACTAAAGTCTTAACAGGTTTTGTCTTTTTGCTTTCTTATCTAAAAAGATTACTGTAATTAACAGAAAACATCTGAATGGGGAAGATTATTATTACAAAAGATTAATCATCCAAAAGATTAATTAACTTTAACCCAGATTTCACTCCTTTCCATATAATTTATGCAGGCAAATGACAGGAGTTCTATGATGTCAATGCACTTTGAGATACACTCATGGGCAAGGCATTGTTTATAGTTATCTCTTGTCTTGTCTGACATCGCACCATTGCCAGGATTGCCCTCCGAAACCTGCAAAGGTCAAGAAGGGAAAAACAGAAAAATTATTAGCTGGAGAACCAAATACAAAGAAAAACTGGGTAAGCTGGCCTTAACTATTAAATAAAACTTATTTATTAAAAAAAGATGCATTTGGAATTCAAAAAGACCTAGGTCTTTTTAACTTCCATGTACAGGAATGCATGGTTAATTCAGTATTTCTTCTACAACAGGGATCACGGCAGCTTTGGCTTATCCCAGCAGAGAGTACAGCCAAGACAAAGGTGAACTTACAGAGTGGGGAAAAAACCAGATGTTTTTTTCATTGACTCAGCAGGGTCAGGTAAGTTTACCTAGACAGAGATCATAGGCTCTGCTTGAAGGTTGGTAGCAGAGAAAAGAAGAATTCCTCTTTGAAAAACCCAGTCCTCAGTCAGAGGCACAGGCTTGATTAGAGCATTTGTTATGCTGGCTTAAAACAGAAGAATGGGTTTAACTTATTTACTTTTATAAAAATGATCAATCCATCCTAATCAGTCAGAATATGATATATCCCAAATCAAGCAAGAAAATCTACAGAAGTTACATGTTACTAAGCCACATGCATTTTGGCCACAGTCATTAAAACCAGTCTGCTACTGATGCAACCCAAATTCCATAATGAATCCCCTTGCTAAAACACAAAGCAACTTTCAAAACTCTTAAAAAAGCTATGCTAATGTGTTCTCAAAAATCTTTGCCAATTCAGTAGGTTCTGATGATGATCAAAACAAGTTATTTTAGACTTTCCTGTCCAAAAGGTCATCTTTGGTAAAAATTCAGTAGGTTCTGATGATGATCAAAGCAAGTTATTTTAGACCTTCCTGTCCAAAAGGTCATCTTCGGTAAGTTAACAGTGGCTTACACTTTGCTCTACACTAATCAGTTTGTCTTATTTTACAGATGATCCTTCTACAGTCAGATGATATGCTAAAATCATAAAGTAGACTGGCACTAAATTAGGAACACTTACTTTTTGTTTGCAACAACATAAATGCAGGGATTATAGAACGTGGAAGATTTTGCGAATAGAGGGGCTATGATGGCCATTGCAGGAGAAATTTTCTTGGGGTCTCCAAAGGAAGACCATAAACACACAATAGAATATGGAGACCATGCCACCAAGAACATTACAATCATCACAACAGACATCTGCAAAACAAGAGGAACAGACACACAGCCAGTATTACCTCAAGATGAAGACCTCATAACCTAACCTCACAAGCACATGCACCTGTGTGAAAATGGAGCTATCCTGAGTGAAATAAGATATAAACAAGCACACCTAACAAAATTTGACAGGTTACAATGAAATCTCACTTTAATAGCACACCTCACTGCCATGTATTGGGCATGCTGTTCTTTCATTCCTTCAAAGTCAGCACTATTACTGATTATATCAAATCTGTCCATGAGGAGTTTAAATGACCAGAAAGGACTTCACACATGAACGATGACACCCACAACAGTCACTCTGGGATGCTATTACAAACAGTAAATATGAACAGAGACAAAAATCTAAGCCAAATGTTTAATAAGGTTGTTAATACAAATGTTTAATAAGGCTTAATTATGCTACAGTTAAATAAAAGAAAGTACATGTTCTAGGACACAAAGTCTCAGACCATATACTTGAGGAACCCAGAAGCATCTGCTTGGTTTAATGAAGCATGATAGCCACGTTCAAGTGTCATACTGAAGAGATTTCTGAGCAGTCATGTCTGACAACAATCTGAGCATGTTGGGGCTCAAACTCCAAAACACACCATGCCACAGCTAGACCTGAACAGCAACAAACTGGGGGTAGTGGGAGGGTAGGAGTGTTAATCAACTGAGACAGACTTTTCTGGCTTTTGTCAGGGACATGAATCAGTAATGAAAACTAGAATGGAAATCTCAAATTAATCAAGTGGACAAAACAAACCACTAGAAAACCAAACAAAACTGCAGTGCACTTTGTACCTATAGGATTCCCCAGAATTGTGTACCTATACCCTTATTCTATCCTTCAGTGATGAACAAAATGAGAAAAGAGGAGTAAATGGCTGGCTTGTATGAGCTGTTCTGGAGCAGAACCAACAAACAAGCAGTGACTGCCTTCACAGAACATTCCCATCGAAATGCAAATGCAATACCTATTGATAATAACATAAGAAAGAAGCCTTTCATTTAGAGGTTTGTTGGGTGCATAGAAAGCTTAGAAGATGCTATTTTGTGAAAAGCAAGCAGTCCAGTTCTAAAGAAGGATACTGCTTAACTTCAAAGCCTCAATCTATTTTTGTTTTAAATAAAACTCTGTGTCTTCAACTGCAAAACAGGAAAAATGCATTTTCTTCACAAATCTGAGTCTAAATTTAGAACCAAATCCTCAGTTTCAAGCATTCTGAAAGTTCTTAATAAAAGCAAAATGCTCACATTAGTCTTTTTAGGCAAAAATACTGTTTTTCAGAACTTAGTAATGAGAAAGTTTTCCAAGGAATTTCAAGTTTGCATTGATAAGTAATTATAAAACATAGGTACATACTCTTCTGTCCAATTCTCTCTCACTTTTTCATCATGCCCAACCATAAATCACCTCTTTACACAAAATCAAAGGAGCTAGTGAACTTCAATATTTCTCAAGGACTTTTATACATTAAAAGAATGTCAACCTTTCAGGCAGGATATACTATTTCATGCCATAACTCACATTTGCTACTGTTTACATAAGAAAGAGATAAGCTCAACAGACTGAAAAGAACAAGGGATTGGAATCACACAGCTCAGGAGTTGGAAATTCCTGGGCCACAAGTTCAAATCAGAGTTGAACAATGCATTTCAGACCAGATACACCTGTGAACCTAGCAGAAAGCTTAAGGACTCTGCAGACACAGAGAATAAAAATTCTCCTAGGGCACCTCTCAGGTACATTGCTATGTAATGACAAAGTGCAGAGCCAAGGAAAATTGATGATGTTCCCAGCTTTCAAAGTAGCTATTAATTTGGAAAATAGTATGAGGCCAAAAGTAAAGAATCTAGTCCTATAAGTCAAGCCAAGGGTTTTCACCAAAGCTCAATTTGAGTTAATATTTAGTATGAAAGGAAAAGGGGGAATGTAGGAAACAGAAATGCTTGAAAAGCTGCACTGTTCCTTTGCCCCTAAGACTTTTAAACAAAAGAACACACTTCAAAAAAAACATACACTCATTTACCTTACCTTGGTCACATCTACTTGGTCAGACCAATCTATGTTAATGCTCTCCAGGCAGTTACTGCGGGCATATTGTTTCATTGTCCGGGAAACATTGTAATAACAGTAAAACATGACTGTTAAGGGTACAACAAAATTAACAGCAATTACACTCATTGTGTAGGAAACAAAGGACCTGATAAGACAGAAAAACAAAACAGAGTAACTTACAAATAGCCATCCAGGAAAAGTTCCTAAGCAATTTGGT